CACACTCCACTGCATGGGTTCAGTGCTTGTTAAGGCTAGGGGTAGAGTAGAAAGGTGTAATGCTTACCTTATTCCTTGCTCCTGTAGGCTCCTTTCATCTGTGTAAATCATCCACAAAGCCTCTTCACTAAGGCATGTCAGCCTGCAGTCGCTCACTTATATCCTCACATAATGCAGGATTAATAGTCCTCTATTGTATGTGATGACTCCAAGAGACCTCCAACAGAATGAGTGCATAACATAGTTAAGACTCCTTAGAACAGAATGTATTCACAGTCTCATTCCATCACACATCCAAAAATAAGAAAATTATTCCTGGAAAAAATTGGTCTATAATATTGAGATATATTTGCACTATGCCTCAGTGGTACTGGTTGTGCATCTGGATGATGGGGCATGAAGCAATAATTTTCATGGCTCAACCTACTGTCCTGAATGAGGAATAATCCTCTCTTTTTGGGGATATGTGATGGAATGAGACATGGAATTACCTCCTGTTCCTAGCAGGCTATACTATGCTACACAATTATTTGGTTGGGCACTTTTTAATTGTTTTAGTCCCTTCTGACCATAACCTGTATGGTCATACTGTCTAATAAAATATGATGCAATAACAAAAAATATTCAAAAGTTATACTTTGCTTTCCTCAGAGAAAAAAAAATATGGATTACATGCTTCTGCATACGTCAATGTATACAATTAAATGTTTCCATTTTTGATATTACACTATGAATATTTAAAGATAAATTACGGCAAGCAAGAGCTCTGTACAAAGTAAAATAAATCATGTTCTATTAATGATATTCAAAAGTTTTTAGGAGACACATTTAAGAAATAATGTTTAAAAGTTGTATTATGACTGTATTCTATACATTCCATTTCCTAAAAATTAAATAATTAATTTAAAGTGAATGCAAAACATAAAAGTGCCCTCTGGTGTATAAAATAAATATCACTCACTCAATACTATACAGAAATAATTCATTTTGTCACAGCGTATGCTCTTGCAAAGTATGAAACAGAGGGCTTGAAACCTCATGTGCAGCAAAGGGAATCAGATTAGAGCACTGTCAGATAATACACTCAGAAGAAAAATCTGCTCACCAATTACATAAGCAATTTAAATACTCAACTGAATATTCAATTGATATAATATCACTAGATTAGAGTACCTTGCCTTTCAAAAAGGAGAAAAGATGACAGTTGGAAACCAGCAGATAAGTGATCATTTAGATTTAGTGTACTCTCCACAATCTTTCTGGGTATGTAGCCCTTTATAAAAATGCATGCATTAAAGCCCAATTGAAGTTACTAAAAATAGATATGCAGTCAGATAGACATTGTACTAAAAAAACCTACACTTTCATAGTATTACTTTCATGTGCCTGCATTTTACATTTAAACGGACTGCTGCTCAAACACATGTTGGATGCAAAACACGGCAAAAGGCTACATTTAAACGGTTTTGCCTGCAATTCAAATGTGTCTTAATAGGACCTCCTGCATTCATTGGAACACAATGTAAAGTAGGTAAATTGCAGCCTCAGAACGGTCATCCACACTGCACCATTGAAGTAAATGCCCATCTTCATGGTCCCTTGATATGACTCTGCAGTCCTATAGTTACTAGAGTTAGACCCAGTGCACTCAGTAACAGAACTGGTCTAACACAACCCCTCCCTTACTCTTCATTACAAGTCTGTGTAAGAATACTTGTGAGGAGGGGTGTGGATATTACTAAATTTTTCCGGAACAGAACAATGAAGAGAGAGGCAGAAGCAGCAAGATAATTCTGGGTATACATGGCTTGACTATTTTATGAGCATTTGTACAAAAAACTCTCATCAGAACTTTCGACAAAGCTATCAGAGACTAATAGAAATATGTTCCACATTTTGGTTAATTTTTACATTCAGTTTTGGAATGAATGGAGATTCCCGAACGAAAACCACATTTACGGTCAGAAATTCATTTGTTCCTTTTCCATTTTGCTCCTTTAATTTTTCTTTTGTCATCACAGTTAAAAATTATTGCCAACTTGACCTGCTGAAAATGACCGTTTTAAAATGAAATTCCAACCATGTATACCCAGCTCTACCTCTGTTTGCCCTCCTCAAGGACTGAAAGGTCAGTACTATCCCTCACCAGTGTATCCAATGCCTTTTTTCCCACTACTTCTCCTGGTGTGGTACCTTTCTTCTTCAGTCACTAACTCCTATGCATATGCACACTGAAATTAAATTTTCCTGAGACCTGACTCCAGTCTCTGCAATCTTACAGGTGTCAGAAACTGGCTGGTAAAACAAAACAGCATGTTCAAATACTGTGCAAATACCATGCTACTTAACCTTGAACCAGTTTCTGATTTGCTGCCTCATTGCTGACTTGGCCTGCCTTTGGGCTTCTCTCTCCTTGCTATTAACCTTGTCTCGTTTCCGACCATGGCTGGTCTCTACTTTCTCTGCTTTGACCTTGGCTAAAGTTCCAGACCATGACTTCTCCCCGCTGATCTTCTGGTGTGACCTTGGCCTGCCTGTGAGTCTGCCTGCTACCTGTCTTCTCAGTCACCAATAACTACTTGTCCTAAAAATACTTCCAGTCTGCTGTGTTCCAGTTTCCTGCCTAGCTGTTTCGCTTATTAGGACTCCCAACACCTGTGCCACTCTGTGTCATCTTACTCCCTTTGCTCTCCTCCATGAGTGTCTGGACCAAATGTGTAAGGGAAGAGCTTTAGCAGTCTATTACCCAGCTCTACCTCTGTTTGCCCTGCTCAAGGACTGAAGGGTCAGAGCTTTTGTCATCTTGGCCTCCACCAGGTATGTGATAGGTTGGAATGCATCCTGTTTTTATTACTGTCTGTGTTTACCCTTTCAATTTGTCCTGCAAACCATTGACACTTCAACAGGAATGAATTAGCAATCCAAACATTTACGGATGTCAGCAAAAACAGGAAGTGAAGGAAAAATTAAAATGGGAACAATTGTTCCAGAGACAACTTTCTAAGAGGGGATTTCCTTCACTTTGGAAAGATTTGTATTCAGTTTTGTCTGGTCCCAGGCAAAAAACAGAAAAACAATGACTGGTTTTAACCATTCCACTCTTTAGGAAGAAAAAAAAAACAATTTTTACTTCAGATGCCTTTTAAATAGTGCTGTTCAACACCCATGCTCCATTGTTATTGATGGAGAATAATTCTAGGCATTCTACACAGTGGGTTGTATACACCATGCTAGTATTTCCTGGCAATTTAGCAATGTTGTTAAACAACTTGCAGATAAATTTGTGGACAAATAAATGACCCTAACATATAACACAACATTTGTGGTGCACAGGAATTTATGCCACTTTGACTTGCTTATAATTTGATTATTCTGTGATACATGAATTTACACAAATATAAAATGCACTAACCAAGCACAACAAATAGCAAGACAGGACTGTATGAAATCTACTGAATAATGCAGCTGTTTTATTAATAAAAAATTGTTCCCAATAAACAAAACTGTATACCTGCCCATGTCTCTAAGTATGGTCTATCTTCAAACTATGATTTGTACATAAATCAACAGACACAGGAGACATACCATAAGGAAAAATACAACATAACATATAAGATAGTGTAATAACTAAAAAACTGACTGAAGCCGACAATATATTCCTGACCGATCCAATAACAGAGGATTAAGCGGTTTTAAGAGCAGCCCCTAATAAGGGGCTGAAGGATTGCCATTTGAAATTTACAAAAGAAATGACTATTTTAATCCCAAAGCTCACAAATTTTTTTAGAGAGGCTGTCCACATCGAAACTGCCTGACTCAATGGGTGAAGCTGTTATCGTGGTTATCCCTGAAGCAGGAGGGGATTCTAGACTGCCAGTGTCCTACAGGCCAATCTCCCATGACGCTTGAATGGTCAGCTGGCTTGGGTCTTGAGGGATAAATCTGTAACTATGGTACAGCTCAGACCAAGACTCTGTGGCAGAAATGCAGAGTCAAAGTCTTTAGAGCTCTTACTGGGATTTTTTAAGTTACGGTTTAGCAGTTGTCAGGTGTAGTTAAATTAAATCGAAGAACCAGCTTCGGGTTGCAGCTGCTCCTCTGGGAGCAACTCTGTAGCATCTAGTGAAGTAGACTGTGATTTAGAGTGAGGAGTTACACTGTTTATGAACAAACATCAGCAGGGCCGGCCTTAGGGGTGTGCGAGCATGTGCGCATACGTGTGAAAATGACGATTTCGCCCATTACGCCGCACATGTTACATATCGCCGCGAACGTCGGAATGAGAGCAATAATTGTAGGGCTATCAATCACTGATAACACTAAACTGATGAGCGTTTAAAGCGTCACCTATGGTCAATTTTGGGCATGGTAATTTTTTGCGATTTTGCGGGTGCGCGCAATTTTAAAGCATGAAATGTTTGGTGTCTATTTACCCGACGTGACCCCGTCTTTTTATACTTTACCAAAAATATTGGTGATAATTGGGTGGGGTTACTGGGGGTGTGGCCAATAAAGGGTGTGGCCAATGAGGGGTGTGGTCACTGAGCGGCGCTGTAAAGCTTTCTCGCACCGGGCGCCTAAAGGCCTAAGGCCGGCCCTGAACATCAGCATTTTTGTGCAGGATGTCAGCATTAGTTGATTCCTGACCAGCTGAAAAAGTAGGCCTGCTGTAGTCAGTGGCAGTCTGGATTGTTGCCTTTCCAGGGTTATGACAAAGGGGGTCTTCAATGTAGCCTTGACTTCCCTGTATGATAATTTATTGGAATACACACCACCCAAGCCACGAGGTTTGTTTGGACAGCGGGTTCCAAGAATTACCCAACTTTGGACAGTCTTTTTGGCAAAGATCTTTATTCCAACCATTATGCTGCTGAAATACCGTGTGTGCTCCCAGGATGTGTTTCCCCAGCAGAAGCATTATTTTAGCATCATTGTGATATGGTGGGATATAGTCAGCTAAAAGATTTAGGTGAGGCTGAGAAAGTGCATCTTCTGATGTAGAGATTTATTTCTATCATTATTTAATGTATTTAACTGTACGCAATGAGTTTAGAAAGAGCAACCTGCTTATTTCCTTCCAATAAGCACAAGATGATCTTCCCGGATTTGTGAGTCAGCACAGGCATGCAATTTATAGGACAAAACATCTCACTCTCTGAGGAACAACTCAAGGAAATCTAAGGTTGCAAGTGAATGACTATTTTTGTCATCCAAGACAGAATACATCGTAGCTGTTTTCTTGAAGTGTAGCGTGCGTATATAAATGCCTTCCCTTGTTCTCCCCAATCAACACGCAATTACAATTTTTTAATCAAATAATTTATTTGGGGGGAGGGTACAGCAGGCTCCTGAAAATGTCACCTTCTTTGGATTTTTTTCAAAAGCATTATATGAAAGGACACACCCCCAGGAATCCTTTAGATGTGCCTGCTTCTCTCTACTGGCCACTGAAGACTTGGCTGTACAATCTGCTGATTGGTTGACTGGTTGTAGGCACATTTAAAAAGGGATGCCAGGGGTGCATTCTTTACATAAAGCTTGAAAACAAAATAATTAATGGCAGAGAAAGCTAATAGCTATGAGAGGGGGACAATGACAGTAAAGATCGGGGGAAATTGACTAATAAGTAATGGAGGTAATGGAGACAGGAAATGAAGGTGAGATCAAGATAGCTGTTCTAGCTTAAAAAGGTTAAAAATTGTGGAAGTTTTCAGGGAATTGAGAGTGAGGAGTTTAAACACAGGGTAGGACTTGCTACAGTACGGGGGGGAGAGTGGGGTAAGGCTGGATTTTATCTTTTAGTTGCCTTCAAAGAAACACCTTGACAAGACATAGTTTTGAATGTGCTTTCCCCAAATTATTTAATGCTCTATCTCCCTGCCTTTCAATGTGATCATTAGGTGTGACTTTTCGTCCCTTCCCTTCCATGATCTGAAGTGTGTGAATATAGCATTACAGTCACTTGCAAGATGCTTTGTAGAATCCCAACACTTAAAATATATCCCAAGTTGTTTTAAGAATTATTTGCATTCTTGCAGGGGTTTGTTCCAGAACTCAATGCATTTATTGAGGGGATATTGCTTCTTATGAATTGGCTTTGGCAACTGGGATTTTCTGTCTCCTGTATGCCGTTTCGCAGCTTTGACACAATTGGCAGATAAGTGAGGATCTGCCTTCGCAAGTTGTAGTACAAGCAAACTTCTGATTATCCTTACCATGTATCATGGGAAAGTCTTGCAACCTTTTGAGCAGAGCATCTTCTATATAGCTTCTGGACTACCATAGCTCTGATCTAGCCACTCCTAACTGGCATAGTTACATAGTTGCATAGTATTTGGGGTTGAATAAAGACATAGGTCCATCAAGTCCAACCCATATAGGTCCATGCATCATCTCATTCTTAGGGATACTGGTATCCCTGGATATTACGGTCCCTCAAGAAATTGTCCA